AGATCGCCTTTATCGACGACGATCTGACTAAAACATGTGTACTTCCAGAATTTTTATAAAAACTACTATATTTTGAATTTTTTTAATAACTAGTTTATTATGGGGAAAAATTCGATGAAAACACAACCAAAAGTTCATAAATATATAGCCATGTATTTGGTTAACATAACCCATTTTTAGCTTTTTGGATTGTGTATTTTCCCAAAAAAGCAGATGGTGTCATATGAGAAAACACAAGGTAATGAAGACAATACAATAGTGAGTGTTTTCTTATCTGTATTGAGTGTAAGAGAATAGAAGCTCGTTTTGAAAAGAGAGAGGGTCCTTGGGTAGGAAAATATGCTTGAATTGAATTCTAGTGAGAGAGTGCAAGTTCAGAGAGTTTTGGGGAGATTATCCTTCAAAACCTCAAGAACATTCAAGGAGGGGAAAATAAAGGAGAAGATGAATGTTACATTAGGGATATGTTCTTCATTTATTCTGTATATAAACTCTTCCTCTCTTTGAACTAATCCTCTCCAATTGCTTAGCTTAACACCATATTTAAGTTTGAACTTTGCATTAAAAGTTAACTTTGACACGGACTTTTAACTACGACATCGAGACCATCCAGAGAATACCAACTGCCATCTAGGCGATGACAATAGGTCCCTGAGGCGGTTGGAGCATCTGACAAGGTAACGGTTGTCAAGACGGAGTGAGTGGTTCCTGAGACGACTGGAGCAACTGGCCAACTAACAGTTAACATGACAGTTACACCTATTGACTATAAATAAGAGAAATGAAGATCGTAAAGGGTTCAATATTTGACACCACATGTCAAACTTTATCATTTCTATTTCTATGCAATGTAGTTGTAATTGTAGCTTTTACTTTTTGGAAAACTGCAGAAGGAAGAAAACGAGAGGATGTTGTGGCTGTCTTGCTTGTTGCCGCTGAATGCGCGCAGAACTGCCATTCTTAGGGGGTAAACAAATGAGTTCGGATAACAAATTGCAGATGGCATTTCTCTGCTAGTACATGTTTCCTTTGTGGAATGTATTAGAATAGCTGCATACTCCGAACTTTTGCTCCCACTGTCATTTCTCGGCTAATACATGTTTATGTAGTGGGTTTGGGATGTAATTGTCTTTAGCTAAAACGTCATCTGGTTTTAGGGACATGTTTTGAAATGATGCTTGTAAGTATATAGAGATTGAATTTATGTTTTTGATCATATCGTGTTCTTATTATTCCCTGTAAGAGCATGTTGATGTTATTTTGTTATTGTAAAGATATATAATGTGATGTCATTTGCTGTTGGTTTTAAGCAAGTAATTAATGTCATTAAGCCAAGTTGTTTGGTTTTATTTTTGCAGGTGTCGATGGTAAGCTGCTGCTGGTGTGCTTTTGTTGGATGGTCCAATTTGGGCTCGTAATGTATTGCTCTGCTGGTTTTGTGGTGGGTTTTTTTTAGCAAGTTTACTATCTTCAATATATGTAATGTTTGTGGTTGATTGAGGGGATATGTAATTACAATAAAGAGGTGAGAGTTTCTTCCTCTAATTATAGGTGAATTGATGTGGTTTTTATTGTGAGATTGATTGTTACTTGAGAAATGTTTACAAAGGCTTCTTGTTTCCAATTACAATTTGTGAAATAAAACCAAGTGTTGAGGGTAATATGATATTTCAACACTTTATGTTACCAAATACCACATGTAAATAGGGGTGGAGGGCCGGTCGGTTCGGTTATAACCGAAACCGAAGGGCCTGTTACTGGTTAACCGAACTATCTCCCAGATCTATCGACCACCGACCGAAAGAGGGCTTAAGGTTTCGGTTATCTCAATTTTTGGTTAACCGAACCGCCTCTCAAGACCAAAATCATCTCGCCCAGCCTCCGAATACCGACAGACTTTCGGTTATCTCGGTTTTTGGTTAACTGAACGGCCTCCCAAGACCAGAACCATCTTGCCCAACCTCCGAACACCGACCGACTTTCGGTTATCTCAGTTTTTTGGTTAGTGGGTAATCGGCCGGTTTCAGTTGTAACCGGTTGGTTAACCGCTAACCAATTGTCCAGCCCTATATGTAAATAACTCATGCGTTTTGGTTCATCCAACCATGATAATTTAACTTTCAATTTTTCTAAATACCATAAAAATACCACAAACCTAAAAAATGAGTTATTTGTCTCTACAAATATCACATTGCCAATTAATCCATCTAAACAACCCCTAGAATAATTTAATTTAGTTTTCTCAACCAAGTATCAAACGCTCTTATTCAAACTTTGTTTGAACATATGTAAACCGTATTATTAATCATTGTGCAAAGAATTCAATGCAATCCATTGAATATCAACAAGTTGTTCTGGCTGGAAAATAAAGGGGTTATAATGGCAACTAGTGATGGCGGGGGGCGGGGCGGGTACCTCAATTCCCATGCCCCGCCCCACGCTACTACGGGTCGGGGCGGGTAAAACCCGCGCGGGTATGGGGCGGGGCGGGTCGACCCACTCTTACATGTTGTTAAAAAAAATACAAGTGAATTTTACTTTTTACAATAAAACGTAGGGAAAAGCACTTTAAGAATGAAAAATATTGATAATACAATGGATAATTGAGCATAACAAGTTGAAAGATCGACTCTAACTAGTTGAAGAAAAGTCAAAATAGGATAAATATGTATAGATATTGTAAGAAATTGATATAAAATGAGTCTAGAACGGGGCGGGACAGGGCAGGGCGGGTCGGAAGTAGATACTCATGCCCCGACCCACGCTACTGCGGGTCGGGTAATACCCGACCCATCTATTGCCCGACCCATCGCAGATCAGGTTGGGTAATACCCGCGGGACAAGTTGAAATTGACATCACTAATGGCAACCAGGACAGTTTCTTTAACCCTGCAACAGGTGGGGATACGAACAGAGAACAAAAAAAGTAGAGCTCCAAAATTGGAAGAAGAACAAGACAAACAGTGGCGGATCCAAGATTTTTTTATAGGGGTGTCCTCTTCCAGAAATTAAATTAAATTAAAAATTAATTAAATAATTCATAAATCAGAAAATATCCGACTAGTACATATTTTAACAAAAGATCAGGACGTATTTTCATATTTTGAAAAAAAAATATAAAATAGACTCAATATCTACATTGTTCAACAAATCTGTATATCCTAATAGACAATAATGCATGAACTGATCGCATATTCGATTTCTAACCTTTTTCTTGATGTAACTCAAAGTAGAAAGACTCTTTTAACTATTGTCGTGTAACCATGAAATCAATTCAAATTAAGGATGACCCGTAATTAGTTTAATTAGTTTAATTGTTAGGTTTTGAAAATAATTGGGGACAAGGAATAATGTTTTTACTATTTTATAGTGTTTAAAATAGAACAAGAAATGAGTTGAAACCTAGAGAATATGTTTAATAATAGTAATGTTCTAGGTTTGAATAATACAAAGTGTCACTTATATTTTTTTAATCATACACAAATTACTACCGAGATTAGGATAATCGTTTTTTTTTAAATTTAAGGGTGTCCCGGATTACTGATTATAATTTTTTTATCCATACGAAACTATTGTTTGAGGTTGGATAATCGTTATCCCAAATTTTAGGGGTGTCCCGGGACACCCTAATGATCCATGTATCCGCCACTGAAGACAAACTTAAGATAATTTCTCCCTCCGATTCTCTCCGGTGAGGAAATCCAACAACTGGTACAGTCACTGTCTCTGAAATAGAGAACTTGGAAATTCCAAAGAATCCCACCATATAAAATGAAACGAGTCAAGTTCAAGGTCTCTGTTCTGCTTTTTCCACACCCACTTGATTTTGTTAATGCGCCACAAAGAACCATCTTCTACCCAAAAATATTCAGAGGCAGAGAGCAACCCCAATATGACCCAGTCAGTCTTCCATCTTCCTATAAAACAAATCCCCTGCCTAATTCCCCAAACTCACCCAAAACCCACTCTGCTGACAATGCCTCCACCCACTCTTACCATCACTCCCAAACTCCTCTCTGTTTTCCTCGTCGGAGCTCTGGCCTCCGCCGTGGTGGCTCAAGACTGCGGCTGCGCATCCGACGAGTGCTGCAGCAAATGGGGCTACTGTGGAACCAGCCCCGACCACTGCGGCTCAGGCTGCCAAAGCGGCCCCTGCAATAGAAACGACGTTCAGGTGGCCGACATCGTCACCCCTGAATTCTTCAACGGCATCATCGACCAGTCCGACGGCGACTGCGCAGGGAGGAGCTTCTACTCTCGCGACGCCTTCTTGCGCGCGCTCGAGTCCTACCAAGGCTTCGCCCGGCTCGGGTCCGACGATGACTCCAGGCGCGAAATCGCTGCCTTCTTTGCCCACGCCACCCACGAGACAGGAAGCAAGTTTTCTTTCTTTTTTCTTTTTAACTCTGTTTTGAGTCCTTTGGCAGAGTCTTTCACTCTGTCACCTAACTATGCTGACGACAACTGTACTTTTGCAGACTTCTGTTACACAGAGGAGATTGATGGGCCATCCAAGGACTACTGCGAGGAGGAGAATACCCAGTTTCCTTGCAATCCAAGCAAGGGTTACTACGGCCGCGGTCCGCTCCAGCTGTCCTGGAACTTCAACTACGGCCCCGCCGGAGAGCAGATCGGATTCGACGGCCTCAACTCCCCTGAAACGGTGGCGAATGATCCAGAAGTATCATTCAAGACGGCTCTGTGGTTCTGGACCAACAACGTCCAGCCGGTGATGGACCAGGGATTTGGGGCCACCACCAGGGCCATCAATGGCGATTTGGAGTGCGACGGAAGTAATTCCGCCACCGTGCAACGCCGTGCCGATTTTTACACCGAGTATTGCCGCCAACTCGGTGTTGCTCCTGGGGACAATCTCACATGTTGATAACAAAAAAATGGTACTATATGTCCGTTTGCAGCTGGATTAAGATACCGGTTAACGACGGTTTAAATAATTGTTGGCAATAATCTCACAATTGCCTCACTGATAAAACCGGAAATTGGAAAACTAAGTTTCATTTCCCCAACGCTAAGCCTGTCTGACTACATGTTATTTGTAAGAGCAAGCTACAACTACCTCTCCAGCCACCTTTGCCTTTAGTTTACATCCAGAATCAGTGTATGCATGCAGGCTGCAGCAATGCATGTCAATCAAATCGAATATCAATCAAATCAACATCACTATGCAATGCTAACACTTAAACCACAGCTAGTTAGAGATGCTCTAACCTAATCCTTGTTCCCGTGATTGGAGAAGAACCCTAATCGGTGCCTGTAGGGGGATCAAATACTCGTTACTGCATTGCTGCTTTTCCCGATTTGTGATCCAGAGACATCATGATGGGGATTGAATCTCACATTTGCAGAACCGCCATGATCCATCGTCTTGCCTCTTCAATGCATACCGAATTTTATACTTGCTGCAAAGAACTTTAATCATTAGATCAAATTTGATAATCCACCACTGCTCAATCCAGTCACTTGGCCTTTTTTTTTTTTTTGGACAAAATTCAGTCACTTAGTCTCTACCTATTCCGATGAACAATCAGATCACGGCGCTATATTTTTACCTGTGATAGTTTGGGTTCTTCTTCTGCTGAGATTCGTCAACAAGCTCAGCTGCTTCCTCGAGAAGAGCTTCGATTTCCGCCGTCTCCATCCCAAATCCATCAGAAACAACATCAGCTTTTACAATGGACAGGTCTAGCAAAAGAAATCTCCAATAGCATGACTCGGAGTGAGCTGCATCAGCCAATTCTTGCCACTGCAAATCGGAACAATATAAGTTAGTGATACCCGACTGGCGATTGCAGAATCAATAACAATGGAAGCTATTCAGTTCCAATATTTTGTATGTGTTGCGACAAATGTACTATCACGGTATGATTGACCTGTTCAAGCATTGACTCGGCAAGTAGTTCAGATAGGCTCTGGATTTGATGTTCGGGACCCAAAGCTTCAGCTTTAACAGTTTGCCATTGCCTAATCAGAGCTTCAGCTTCTTCAACTGGCATCTGCTTCCTTGACACTGCTCTTGTAGAAGACTTTCTGCTAGTGGTCAGCTCTAAATTCTGTGATGTACTATGTCGTGGCAGTGTGTAGAATTTTGTTTTGACAGTTGCTGATAGCTTTTTCATTCTGTCACCAATACCACTTCCTCCAATGGTATCATGAGAAAAATCCATGGTGCCACTATGGAAAGTGGTATCAGCAATATGCTTATTGAAGGCAAACGTAGGAGACCTTAGACTCCTGTAAGACAACTTGGAGGTGATAAAAGTCATGCACCCTAATACTACAACAAATATGAACTTTCCAACCACATTCCCATACGACGGCCAACTTTCCCAATTTCCATTATCCCGCATGTCCAATTTTCTTTTCAGCTGAACCAGTGGTTGGTCCTCACTGGCTCGATCATCACACTTGTCAGACATCAATGAGGTCTGCAAATCCACAAGAGCCAACTTCTTCACAGCTGATCCAAGGTGTTGAGAAGAGGTCTTCAATGAGAGAGACCCACCACCATGATTGATTCGTTCTGATGCAAAACCTGAGAAAGGCCTTTGACCAGTAACCCGTTTGGTTGAAAGAGAAGGTAATTTGCTTCCACCAGAGAAAAAGTCCACCTGGAAGGCAAAAGTTAGCCAACAATCCTCTTTTTTTCTTCCTCCAATTAGTGGATCGGTTATGGTAGTACTCACCAGTGATGGTGAACAATCTCTTGTATCTGAAAACGCAGCAAGCACAGAGTCCTTCAGCCATGTTTCCTGATCAAGTTCAGCAGGATTTCTGACATAAGAAAGTAAATAAATTGCTCAAATAAGGCATCAAGAAGAAGAAAGAAAAAATGCTTTTGCAGAACTGTGACCTAATTCTATCTTCTAGTGCATAATTTAAAAGTATGACGCAAGCACACATGAATGCTCAACTCATCCATCAATTCAAGGATGCAACGCTAGTACGCTACCAAAAACGAGATGATGACTGCAATGAGGTTAAGCAAATTTTCTAACTAAATCCTCAAAGAGCTGAAGTCTTCATAAAGCACTTGAAAGTATCCACTTCAGCCCTTCCCCTAGAACTCCAACCAATGGAACTTCTGAACTACCTAGCATACAGTGATAGGCCTACATAGGATCTGAAAATGCCTTAGCCGAAGCTGGCACTTAAAAAACATTCATCCCCTAGATTTTGATGAGGCAAACCTATTGAAACATACCTTTGGTTCAAAGTTGAAACTAAGGTGAGCTTCGATATGTTATATAAAAGAAACCCTCAGGTTGATGAAGAGATAAAGAGTACATAAATTTAAACTATAAGAAAGACATACCACAGGCAACTTGACAGAGGTTGCGACGTACTTATCCTTCCCAGAGATCAAAATTCGTGGTGCGGGGTTCACATTCGACTCCACCTGTTGAAGCTTTTCAACAACCTGGGCCTCATTGTCCTGACAATTATGATTGCACATATCAGGAGTCATAAAAAGACAGGGATGAGCAAACAAGGAAAAGAAACTGAAACGGTCAGAAGATCCTACAAAATGTGAGAATGCTGTTTAACAGAAAAGTGTAGCAAAATGTGGAAACAAATTGAAACATACCTCTCCCAAAAGAAACAAGCAAAATGCTTCCTCCAATTTTAGATCAATACCTTCCGAAGCTATCAGAGTGCCACATATATCTTTTGCTCTGTTGATCTAAAGGACAGGATCAAGGTCAACACAGAAGAAAAATAAAACTTAGCAAGGCTACATTAGATGAAATAAAATGTTTCTACCAATTTTGTCTGCTTGCTAGAGAAACCCAGAGCAATATGAGCTATCAATGCCACATAGAAACAATTGAAGTCAATAACAGCCCTCTGAGTATGTGATTCAAGTGATTTCTTGTTTCTCCGAATAAGGGCTAAATCATCCCAAGGAAGAAGATCGACTATTTCAGTGGCCATGAGCCGATTAAGTGCTTGAATCAGAAAGCAAGGCCAGTCTTGGACTCTACATGACATTTCCGCATCAAGTCCTTGTCTGAGTAATTCACGCAAAGCTGCTATTGCTCCTTGTCGCTTTTCAGGCTTTTCAGGAGAATGAGGCATGCTTAATATCTCCAGTGTGCAAGCAGGTGCCAGCTCCTCCATAGATTCTTCTATCTGAAAATAGAAGACAAAAACCTTTACAAAGAACGGGAAGAAGAAATGTCTCTAAGAACTGGAGAGCCTAACTTTCATCGCCATTTATGTCATCTTTCAGTACAAGTTGGCTTCCAAATGCATAACATAGAGCTAGACATCAAAGAAGTAAAGGTTATAGAGTAAGCCTTACCTGGGCCAGCAAAGCCATCTTCCCAAGGGAGATCTTACTCCTAAGAAGACTCTGAGCACGGGCTAGAGCTTCAAATCCAAGGGATATCTTATTGTTCTCAAAGCTAATTTTTGCAATTTCACACTGTAAAAAAAAGCCGCAGTCATAAGAAAAATTGTCCTAACAAAGTTCTGCTGGTTAACAATGAATCTATCAGTTCAGTACTTACTTCTGCCAGTGCCATTGATAGAAGTATGTCATGGATATAAGGCTTAGCATCTGGCTTCTGGATAGCCTTTCTGCCAATATCAAGCACTAACTTCTCTTCACCAACCTGTAAATGACATATATACCAAAAGATTTACAGCTGGAGCCAAGTTGTTTGACAACAATGAAATTCCATGAATTGATTAAGAACATATATAGCAGTTATTCTGGAAGACGGTGGGAACTAGGATACCAGAAAAATTGGGAATTTCTAATCTTCAGACAATAGTACAGGAGATATAAGTTATACCTCTTGAAGAAGGCAAAGAGCACCAGGCAACCAGGTCCATGGAATGTATAGAGAAGACTTGGGGGGAATCTTATCTCTCACGTTTCCAGCATATTCAGCTTCAAAAAGAACCTTGTCCCTCACATCCATCAAAAGATCCTGCATACATAATAGAATACAAGGGAAATTAGGAAGCCCACAACTGTCCTCCACTGCGAATGCGACTTTTGAACAAAAAAGGAAAATAATATTTATAAAAATAAAAAATGACTGAGGAACATCCACCTTGCGAGACATGATGGCATCCATTGTATATCCATCTTCTACCTCAGCGCTTTTCAATTGGATCACTGACTTCACTACCTCGTCTTTCTCTGCTTGATCACGAAGACCAAGTAGCTGCAGATTACCAATTATCAAAAGGTTAGTAGCCAACCAACAAGCTGATACCAAAGTAACAAGAGCTACAAGCACTTTTAGAAGTTAATTATAGATGTGATTCTGCAAACGCATTGGTCACATACATCAAGAATCCTTTTGACTTTAATTATTCCTTCTGCCCTTTCATTCTGATCGGCGGCAAAGCCTTCAATTGAGCTGCTTTGAATCCAAATCAAATCATTTCTACAGCATTTTAGATGATGCATAATGTCTGAAATACCAGAAATTTCTCCCAATTGACTCCCACAACAGAGCTAGACATAGGTACATGAATTCAAATTCTATTTCGAAATGACCACTTCGTCGAAATCACTCTCTCGCTTCACTGCAATGCTAAAAATGTAAACCAAACCGGCCGGAAATCAGAGAGAGAAACAACCTGATAGCAGGTGACGTTGATTTCCACGGTGGCGGTGGCCGGAACGGTGGCGTTATCTAGGACGCAAGTTGGAGTGGCAGCGTTCAGTATCCACGGCGAGACAGTAACAGGTCTCTTTCTCAAACCCGTCGAAATGGAACCAGAGAGGAAACCCACAAGCCCGGCAGGGAAGGAAATCACCGGGCAGCGAGCAAAGCCCACGAGAAGGGAATGCTTCGGGGGTGCATTGCCACGCGAAAGTTGAAAATGTTGACACCGGCAGCAGCAGCAAGAAGTGGGGGGAGGAATTTGCGTCAGATTGAAGTGTGGCAGCGCCATTTGTCAAATTGCCGGAAACGCTACCTCCATTGCAGATGAAAGAGGAAGGTTGTGTGTGCGCGAGAGAGCGCCTTTTTGGATGGAACCTTTGGCTTTGAGTAAGGAAATCTGGAAATGGTAATTATGTGTGCGAGAGAGATGACTGAGGTAGCGAGGTGAGAATGCTTTTATTGCGGCGGGTGGACCGCTTTACGTGCCGTTGATTCTTCCGTCTTTCGATTTGCGTTTCGAAACGACACGTAAGAAGCTAAAGAAATATACTGAGAAATAGCATGGCCCAAGTTTTGGAATATTACCAAGCTTGTTTTGGTTTTGGTGATTGTTTGATTGGATAGTTATTGTTAACAATGCATGTATTGTTAACAATGTTTTTTTTTTAATTTTCTGCACAAACAATACATGCATTGTTTGCTTGATTTGACACAAACTATTGCTCAAAATGAGTGATAGTTAAACCTCAAGTTTTTTGTAATATTGTTGAGATTGTTTGGTGGAGATTATTGTATTATTTTTTTCTTCCAACTATATCCCTACCTTTTTATGTATGTTACTTTTTTTTATAGCGTTAATTACATGGTTGATCACCGGAATTACAAAAAAGGTTCATGTTTGGTCACTCGAAATATTTAAATCCATCAGTGGTTACTAAAATTAGTTCAACCGTACAAGTTTGGTCACTCTTCGTCCAACTCCGTTAATTTTTCTGATGTGGCAATCAACTTTTATAGTTGACCGTTAAAAGAGTGACGTGGCAAATAAAAAATTAATAAAAATAAATTTTAATTGTTTAAATTTTCTACATCAGTTTTACCGCTATTAAAACTAAAAAAAACTTAAGATGTGTGATACGTCTCTTCACAGACTCCACCACCTCCTCCTCCTCTCCGTCACGGTCGTTGACGGCGACGAGATTTTCCTCTAGAGTAGCATCCTGGCCCTCCTCTGCTTCCTGGAGTTGCGATTGGCATCCATGCCCGCGGGAGTCGCAAATTGGTGGGTTGATGGGAGTTGAAGGCGGTGCAAGCCAAGCCAATCCACCTGTTTCGCCGCCGGAATTGGCGAGAAAGAGAGAGGAATCGTCGGCGACGACATCTTCAGATTTGGGGCTTTTGCACCGGCGAGCTCGGAAGAGAAGTGTGACGCTTCTTCTTCCTCTGGTCTCCATCCTCGACGCCATCCCCAGAATCGCAACCCTATCCCCAGAAATCCCAAGCCAACATCAATCATCATTCCCAAAAAAATCGAACGCTTCTTCTTCCTATGGTCACAATCTCAACGACGGCTCCCAAATCTTGGATGCAAAAGTATAGACCCACGATAGCTCCCGATTCTTGGATGTATGGTCTCGTCGGCGACTCCTGATTCAAGGGAAGATCGACACTGAGAAGAGACAGTAGATCTATAACTCAATTTCTGGGCTCCCTCTTCACGAAGCCATATTCGCCAGCTCTCTGCTGAAACTCCGGCTTCTCGCGAACCAACCACGGCAAGAAAGGAAGAAGATGTTGTGGAGGTGAATGTTGACGGCGGCAGTGGACCTAGTCGAAGGAGGAAGGTTGGGAGTCGTATTGGTCGGAGGAGGAAGGTTGTAAGGGTGGGCAACGGGACCGGACGAGATAGTCGTCCCGTTTGAAACGGGTACCCATTCCCGTTTGGCGGACAAAGTCCATCCCATATCCCAAACCCTTGAGAGTTGACGGGTACCCGTTACCCGTACGGGACGGATAACGGGTACCCGTTTATTCCCGTCTATACCCATTTAACCTGGGGGAGAAGAACAATGTATTGTTGTCCATCCGTTTAACCCGGGAAGCCCCTGCACACCCGAGGCAATGAGAAGAAAAGCAATTGAAACAAAAAAGAAATCTCAATCTAAAAATTGGGCATCGAAAAAGCTAAGGCAAGCGTGGTGGACACCCCTGCCAAAACACTCAATAAACTAAAATGAAAGCAAGCATTCATCCCTACAGCAACGAAAGGGAAACACCTCAAAAACAAAAAGTTCTACGATCGCAGCTGAAAAGGGCAGGCAAGACGAGGGACACTGAAGAATTCATTAATTCAAGGTTAGGATAAATGGTCAGACTATCAGTATTTGTTGTAACGGGTATAACGGATACCTGTATTATCCAAACGGGTATTAGAGGGTACCCGCGCCATTGTTGAAATTTACAATCCCAAGTCTCATCCCGCATTAAATAAAACAGGTATTTGGGTACCCGTAACCCTCAAAAATGGGGACGGGTATGGGTATACCCAAATACTCATTTCCCGTTGCCCACCCCTAGAAGGTTGGTGTTGCTGGCGGCGGCGACGAGTGAATAGGGAGAAAGAGGCCGCTGCAGAAAATGAATTAGGGATTATTTTTCCCCTAATAGGAGATAAGTGAAAAGTAGTTGTGAGGTGGAATTGTTAAATAATTAAAAAAATATTTTTATTTTTTAAATGCCATGTCATTTATTTAACGGTCAACTATTAATGTTGACCGTCACGTAGGAGAAAGTTAACGGAGTTGGACAGAGAGTGACTAATGATGAAACGAAAATGTAAAGTTAGTCACCACTAATGGATTTAAATATTTCGAGCGACCAAACATGAACGTTTTTTATAATCTCAATGACCAACCATGTTATTAACCCCCTTTTTTATATAAAAAGCAAAGGGTAAAAGTAACATTTAATCCAAAAAGTAATATAACTTGTTTAAATACTATAATAATTATCACAAAAACCAAACGATGTAAACTACAATACACCAATTTTCTTATATACATGCATATTAGTATACATGCATTGATGACAATCCATCAATTTAACTACCACCAAAACCAAACGACCCCCTCGTTTGGTTTTGGTGATTGTTTGGTGGGGATAGTTACAATGCATGTATGGTTCATAATGCATTGTTTTTTTTTTTTTTTTTGAATTTTTTGCACAAACAATACATGCATTGTTTGCTTGATTTGACACAAACTATCACTCAAAATGAGTGATAGTTAAATCTCAAGTTTTTAGTGAGATTGTTTGGTGGAGATTGTTGTGTTATTTTTTCTTCCAACTATGTCCCTATCTTTTCATGTATGTTACTTTTTTATAGGGTTAATTGCATGGTTGGTCACTGCTATTACAAAAAACGTTCATGTTTGGTCACCGGAAATATTTAAATCCAATCTTGGTCACTCAAATTAGTTAAATGGTTCAAGTTTGGTCACTCTCCGTCCAACTCCGTTAAATTTGTCTAATGTGGCAGTCAACACTCAAAGTTGACCGTTAACTCAGTGACTTGGCAATTAAAAAATAATAAATAAAATAAATTTTAATCCTCTACCATTTCCAACTCATTTTCACAATAAAGTAAATAAATAAAATAAAAAATATTATAATTACAAATTGAAGCCTTCCCCGCAGCCAAACCAACACCCTATTCCCATCGACGGGGTTAACGGGGACGCCCTGCACGACGGGGTTAACGGGGACGGCGGCGGGCAGAGCTAGGATGGGCAAATCCTCTATCCTGCAACCCATGCAACCGACAGCCTCTTCCCTCCTCCAGCCGGTTCACCACCACCAGTCCCATTCCTTGCGGAACGACCATCACCGTCGGCGTCCTGACCGAACAATTCCTAGTAAATATCGACGACATCCCTGGGCTTGAATCTGAAGACACGATTGGCTTGTTGGAATGAGAGGCAGGGGAAGGTGGGGGAAAAGCCCATATTTCAAATCCAAGCGAGCTTGATTTGCGGTGTTTGGTTCATCACTCTCTTTATTTCCCCATATTTCCATTCCTAAATGGAAAAACCATCCACCACCACCGCCTCCGCCGATTCGTCTATCAAACCACCACCGAAAAAGAGGGAGGAGAGGGCGTCAATGTCGTCGTGCAAGGCGTCGACCGGGTTAACGGAGGAGGAGCGGGTGTCGAGAGAGACAAGGGAGAGAAGGATGGGAATAGGGTGTTGGTTTGGCTACGGGGAAGGCTTTTCAATTTGTAATTATAATATTTTATTTATTTATTTTACTTTATTGTCAAAATGAGTTGGAAATGGTAGAAGATTAAAATTTATTTTATTTATTATTTTTTAATTGTCACGTCACTGAGTTAACGGTCAACTTTGAGTGTTGACTGCCACATCAGACAAATTTAACGGAGTTGGATGGAGAGTGACCAAGATTGGATTTAAATATTTCCAGTGACCAACATGAACGTTTTTTGTAATCTCAGTGACCAACCATGCAATTAACCCCTTTTTTATATTAAAAGCAAAGGGTAAAAGTGACATTTCATCCAAAAAGTAATATAACTTATTTAAATACTACAATAACTATCACAAAAATCAAACGATGTAAACTACAAAGTACAAACACCAATTTTCTTTATATACATGCATATTAGTATACATGCATTGATGACAATCCATCAATTTAACTATCACCGAACCCAAACTAGCATTCTAGTGCTATGATTTGAGCAATAGATATAGGCAATAGAATCATGAAAGTTACATACAAATGGTTTTGAGATTATAGGTATAAACTATTATAGGTATAGACTAATGATAGTATATAAATGGGATATAACTTATAAGTATCTTGCAAATATTAATTATTAGCCAAATCTTTTTTGCAATCTTATTTATTAGGTAAACCCATTGAATTACTAATAATTAACCAAACGTTAACTTACCATAAACTTTAATGCTAAGTTGGCATCCCACGTGGCAGGGGCGGAGCCAGGATTGGGCGATCGGGGGGCCGGAGTTAGCTAGTACATTATCGTCGAAAGTAAACAAATGATAAGAAAATTATTAAGAAAATAATAATATTATTATTAATTAATAGTATAATAATAACAATATAAGACTTTATTTTATATTAAAAATTCACTCAAATTAGAATCTAAATTTTTTTTTCTAAATGCTATGTTTAACAAATTATTAAAAGTAAAATACTTATAAAACATACTATAAAAATTATAAGATTGCTCTTTGTCAAATAAAAAGTTACATAATTAATCATCTAACCAAGAGAATCATTAAGAATATAAATTCAAAAGTTGAAGAAATTAATTAAACTATATTTTAATTTTAAAGAAATTAAAATTGACCTATATATGATAATTATTAACTTATTAAATTGCTCTTTGGTCAAATTGAACTACTGTACATTAAACTTCCATGTTCTAAAATGTAAAAACGGGAGGTGCACTTGGTTCGAACCCGGCCACTGAATGTTACAGGCATGAATCCTTCAGCTGGGCCACCCAAACATTGATGTCACAATTTTGCACACAAATTTACTTATATTATTAGGTGTATACGTAAATTTTCAAATTCCTATTGAACTTAACACGTGATTTCAAAATTTTGGGGGGGGCGTGGCCACCCTGAAGAACAACATAGCTCCGCCCCTGCCACGTGGCGGTCAGCGTGCCATCATTTTATGTTTTTAATTTAAAAATATATTAAAGAATTAATAAAATGAAAAAAAACTCGTCATCCCCAACTTATGACCTCCCTCCTCTTATCGCTCCCCTTGGTCTCCCTCGCCCTACGATCCCAACCACTTCCCGCTGGCAAGGTAACGAAGTCTACCTGGCTGGAACACTGCATGTATAATTAGACATATATGGGTTGTGTTGTCTGATCTAGATACATTGTGGATTGCATGGTTAAAAGAATACCGATTGAGGAATCTGTCAATCTGGGATAATAAGATTTCAGGGTCGTGGGCTTTGAATAGGATTCTGCAAACTCTTTCTTTGGTTGCAGGTCAGTTTTAGAGCTCAGATCAAGGGATTTTGTGGAAAGATGTTCTTATGGATAAGTATCGGATCAAATAGATTTGGCAGAACATTAGATAGGAAGACCATTAGAAAAATATGGCAAAATATCTTAATTTTCTCATAAGTATGGCTATATACGACATAAATATTTTTTTAATACGAACTCCTACCATTAGTTGGAACACAGGTTGGGTTGGGTTTTACGGGTTGTGTAATCCAAACCCAACCCAAAAGAGGCGGGTTATACAAAAGAAAACTCTCACCCAACCCAAAACCTTCGTTTTAGCGATAAACGGGTGGGTTGGGTCTGTTTGGACGGGTGAGTCGATTTACGGGTGTGTTTGTTCATCCCCTAGATAAAATCAAGAAGTGGAAGCCTGAAGTTGATAAGATCTGCCCACTTTGCTTGAATCTACCTGAAAGTCATGATCATATCTTCTCTTAGTGCTGCTATACTCATACTTGCTTGCAATTCTTTCCTACGAACAGGGGGTAGTGTCCTTCATGTGGATGGCAGGAAAGTTAGGAGGTTGCTATAAATAAGCTGGGAAAATGTAAGATGGTTATCTGATGTGGTGTTTCTGATTAGCGAATTTTGGAGGGAGCGTTGTTGCCGGTTATATGGCAAGAAGAGTCTCTCATTTGATGAGTAACTTAAGAAAATGCGGAAGTTCTTGGATGATCTGAAATGTGGAAATCCTGAATTTGCAGCAAGAGTAGTAGTAAGCCCTTACTTGTAGCATACAGATGGGTATAGCTTTTTCTTCTGAATATGTTAGTCTCTATTTTTCTTTTCGAGGCTTAATGGTTTGGTTTTATAGTTTTTCAAGCAAGTTCTGATCTGTATAGGGTTCTGGTTCTGCTGTTGTACTCTTGATGATTGTATTTGATGAAATAAAATCTCCTTTTTTCATAAAAAAAGGTGATGCATCTAACATGCTCATGTTAGCTCAAACTTTTCACTTTGGGTTCATCTTGAAAATGATGATTAGCGTACTTGCAATCACCGATGAATTTTTTTGTGGCATTGCAAAGAAAAGACCAGGATTCATTGTTATTGGTGGAGGGAAGCATGTGATTCATTGTTATTGCATGGGGATCTCTTGAACGTGGATGGGGGCGAGGATATGAGAGCTAATAGGGAGCATTTGGCTCGGGGGAAAGGATAAGTATGCATTGGCGGTTCTGTTCGAGTATCAGAGCGCAATTGGAAGTCTCGCAAGCATAAGAAAGTACGTTCAATGCTCAGTATCGTCGAAAATATGCAGAGAACTTTCTTCTACATTGATCCATGTTGAGTATGGTTTGAGTTACTTTGCTAATGAACTCGAACCTTGGGGACAAGGTTCTTTCGAAGAGGAGAGGAATATTGCGTATAGAATTATTATCATTATTATTATTTCCCTTATTTGTTTTAGTCTTAGATTTAGCCTTTTAGGGGATAATTATAGTAGTTATTAGAGTTGGATTAGGAGTAGCTAAGAGGGGTTTGGAGTGGCGGCCAAGTAAGTGGCCGAGTATAGTCTTTAGGGTTCTGAGCCGTTTGTTATATATATGTACTTTGTGGTTCAATTATTATTATAGAAGAAGAAGAATAATCAGTTTATCGTAGCTTTTATCTTTCGTATCTTAGGAGTAGAAGTAATTTAATTAATTTCACTGTGATTTTGGGAATTTATACGCAACAACGGATAATACCCGCGCGGATACAGGACAGGGCGAGTCGACCCACTCTTACATGTTATTTTGAAAATTCGCGGAAAAGTTTACTTTTTTCCAATAGAATGAAGGGAAAAACACTTTATGAATGAAAAATATTGATAATGGAATGGGTAAATAAATCTAACTAGTTGAAAGATCAAATTTAATTAGTTGAAAAAAGTCAAAATAGGAGAAATATGAATAGTTAATATAAAAAATTTAGATAGAATGGGTCAAGAACGAGTAGTGTGGCAGCCGACAGGACGGGTCGAAGGTAGATACCCATGCCCCTCCCCATGCTACTTCGCATAGGATTATACCCGCTCCATCTAGGATCAGACCGGATAATACCTGGCGGGTTCAAATTACCATCCTAAATTAATATGAGCAAAATTAAAATAGAGAAGGAAATAAATTCATTAATTAAAGAAAATTAAAATTAATTACCCAAACAAAAAGGTCAAATTCCTGCCTTGCACCGTCTCCCTCCCCGATCTTCTTCTACGGTCTCGTCTCACTCTCTGTTTGCCTTTTCTTTTCCCTCAATAGCGATGAATAAAAAAACTTAGACAGCAAGACGGTCGCTCCAGTTTGAGCTCTCTGTCTTCACATAATTTTGAGTTCAATGCCTGCACAGAAGCGTCCACTGCCGGAGGATTCAAACCCCGAGGATGATGATCAAGAAGCAGGAAGAGGAGAAGAACGGGGAGAGTCTTCTCGACGCCCGTCGTCATCGTCGCCACCGCACCAAAACGGCAACCACCACCATCACGGCTCATTTCCCAGGCAATCTCGGGACGATACTATGCCAGCCCGAAGTCAGCTGAAACCGGGCGAGGAGGTGGAAGACGACGGGGACGAAGACGAAGATGATTCGGAGGAGGGAGACGAGAAGCAACGGGCGGCGGGAGAGGAGGAAGATGACGACGACGACGAAGAGGAGGAATACGAAGAAGAAGAGGAGGAAGAGAAACGCCGCCGCGACGCTGGAGGAGGTGAAGTATATATCATATTATTTGTCACCCCAACATATTGACGTAGATTTATTTTCTGCAGTTGGGGAGACGAAATTCGGTGGACTAGCCAGTTGATTTGGGTTATAATTTGCGGGCAATTGGGATTTGATCGTTCTTTCATTTTTTTTTTTCTCTCCAGATTCTGAGTCTACTCAGTCATCCAGTTCCGAGGAGGAGGAGGAGGAGGAGGAGGAAGAAGAAGAGGAAGGGGATAAGCCTGAGTACAGTCATCTCACTCTTCCTCTTTTCCGTTTTCTTTTTGCTTGTACTTGGTTCCAAACATTACCATCCTTTGAGTTGCGCAAGAGAACTGTTTCAGTGGGAAGTGATCGTATTACTGGGGCTGATTGATATTTCTTCAGCAAAACGTGAAATTGAGTGTTCAAAGAGAAAGTCGTTCCTGCAATGATTGTTAGTTCAGAAGCTGGTAGTTTGATGGTGCCTAGGCTGAAAACTGAGTAGGGAAGTTATTTTTTTTGCATTTGCTACTTTTAGTGATGCTCGATCTTGTGCTAGAATGACTTTGTGAAAGTTGGCGTGACTAGTAAAACTAAAGAAATCTGCTGCCACTTGTTGACCATGTTAATCTTGAAAGTCATGCATGCTGCTGGGTCTATCTGTAATAGATCGTATTGGCTTTGCAGCTTTCAGGAGCGGTTTAATCAAACCATCAAGAATTTGACTGGCCTTATACTCTGTTTCTGAAGTAATACATACCCTTCTTTTTATAAGATCTTTCTCATGTGGAGGTTTTCCTTTACCTATCGGTTTTGGCAACTTGATCTTGGAGTATGGAAATGAGATATGCCACATGATGAAATCTAAGAATAATGGAAGAAACATAGTAAAGGTGAAACACAGCCATCTCGACACATGCATGCATGACATCCACATTCTAACTATTCCTAGTTTTAGTTTCACGGGGTGGTTATTCAGAAACTGTGAAGTTGCTGTTCACTTGTGTGTTATAGTTGGTAGCAGCTTATTTTCTTGTCGCTTACAAGTATGTCTGACTTTTCCAGTTTACTAATACAAGATGAGTGTCAGTTAGTTTTTGATGTGTTTAGTGACATAAGCGGTTATGGGTAAGGGTTGTGGTTATTTTGTCTGGCTGGTAGTGATGATGATGCCAGGATCCTGCATGAAGCCCTCTGGCAGCTCAGCTCTTAGCTATTAAATTTTTTCATGATCTTTCTAGATCGTAACTGATTATGTTTTCATTTGGGTCACTGTGAGTCTAACCTTTCTGGCTGTATCTGCTTTACTTGTTCTATTAGGCGATGTTAGCTTCTAAGATCAAACCCAAGGTGGGTTAAGTTTTTATTGCGCATACTCATTAGGGTTAGATGTTTGCGTCTAGTCTACTCGTTAAATGTGGATCTTGATGAGGACAGGGGATGCAATTATCTAGGGTTCTTGAAATTGTTTACTAGATTTATTATCCCTGATGATCAGATTTTCCAAGTATGACTATGAGTTGAGTTTAATAGGGTTCTTGGAATTGGTTACTAGATTTGTTATCCCTGATGATAAGATTTTCCAAGTATGACTATAAGTTGAGTTTGATAGGGTTCTTGGAATTGTTTACTAGCTTGGTAATTATGAGTCTTTGAAGGTTAAATGGAAGAGAACCCGAAAGCTTACTGGTTGCATGGGCAAAGACTGAAAACAAAAGAAATGAAGACGTTTACATTTATTTATATGTTGTACCGACAGCTATTACAGCTGCACTGTCTTCTGGTAGTCGTTCATATGAAACTACACTGCAATCTTGCTTCTTTTTCTCGTTGAGTTGATTTGGGGGTCTTGCCATCTTGTTCACAACTGATAACTCCTTAGGGTTTGAGCCTGTCAACTTAAGATTGACGAAGGGCCGGAGATTAATTCTGTAGAAAACAAGAAAGAAAGAGGGAGAGAAAAAATCAATGGATGCTGGAAATTTAAATATTATGAAAACATTTATCTGCAATGCTTAAAAACCTTCATGGTCGCTATTTTTTTTTAATATTTTATATGAGCGTGCATGGCAATGCAATCACACGCTTGCACACATGGTATATCTTTTGGTGTGCACATGTTACAATTGATGTTACCTACGTTAGTTACTCTACCAATTAAATCAAACTAATCTACTTGAGCCGTGGACCCAAATTTTAAATGGTTGATGAGTGGAAGCCATTAATATGTTATCTTCTTTTATGCTTTGTCTGATGACTTCTGCAGTCTTTCCACGGCAAAATGTTTACAAATGTGATCCAATTATCCAACAATTGCATAATTATCTTTTTGCAGGTTTGTCTTTGTTGAACTACCAGAAATTCGTAAAGATGTGCAATGCCCTATATGCCTAGGTACTGCTTTGGATGTGTGTTTCTTCCTGTAGTTGATATACATATTCAAGTGGCCATCTTTCCAGATGCATTGCAGGTCCATTCTGTTGAACTATCTCTGCAATCTATTTCTCCCCCATCTTATAGTACTTTTTCTGTGATCTTAGTCTATATTTGAAAAAAATCTCTAAAAACAAGGAAAATTTCAAAAGAAGTTGTAGGTGTGATAGAATGGAGTAACTGAATTGCTAATTCAGATAGACTTTTGTGCCAATAGTGCAAGATCAGGGAATAAGTTCGCTTGCATGGTGATTATTTTGCTCTCTGTTTAATATAAGTTATAAACTCAGTTGCTTTGTTCTTGGACGGTACTAGATTGTCTTTCTCTTCTCCTTTCTATGCTAAGAGTTTGGACGGTTATCCAGCATCTTGCTGTTATATCTCCATCTGAAGTCTCATTGATGATGTCATATACGAAATGGAAAACCAAAAGAACACCAAATGGGAAGGTTAACTTGAACATTACAGCTAAGTTTTGTCTGTGCATCCTTCTTTGAAGAAAACCAACTCTTGACGTTTTCTATGTTTAGTTCCAGTAAACTTGCCGATGAGCCCATCCTCCACCTTTAGATACTGAAGAAACTACCTAACTACCTAATGCCCAGGCTCCTCAGCTGTTACCACTCTTGTATACCTTAAGGATTTGTAGCCATGAACCTCCTATTGCTCACTAATGAATACACTTAAATACAACTCCTCTCCCTCTCTTTTATTATGAAGGGTCAAATTTTCGGTATCTGACGGCTTCCGGGGATTCCTGTGTCTGAGTAGCTTTTTTATAGATAAGGGTGATATAGATTACTTTTTGTGATTAGGTGCTACTTAAGGGATTCAAACCTGGGACCTCCAGGTTCAAAACTAGTGGTATTACCACTAGACCAAACCCTTGTTTGTCCTGTGTTTAAAGTATTTTGGCTACTGATGATGGATTCGGGATATGGACTTGAAATAGATTAGTAGGCAAAAAGCATATAGTAGCTCAACTGGAATAGTCGGTTACTCATCGGAATATATATATGTTACTTCAATAAGTGCTTATTGGAGTAAATTGTTGGCATTGCTCTGCTTTTGTTTAGGTAATCTTACTCCTGTTTAGTTTCAACTTATGCTTATCTAAGAAAATCTTATTGAATGTAGGAAACCAATGTACTATACTTTGTAAAGCTCAATGCTGCCATTCACAAATGGGCTGAGAGATGCTCATTTTTCTTAAATCCTAGGGCAAATACAATATATTAGCCACAACTATTATGAAGCGGGGAATTATAGCCACAACTATGTAAATTCAAATTATTAGTCATAACTATTGTTGCGGGTCAAGATATGGCTAATTGTCCGTTACTATTATTGAGAAGGCCACGACATCGGCCACGGCAACAGCCACGTCGGACTGCTTTTAATTTATAACTTTAAAACATAAACGTTTAGTCAGTATTACTAACGGAATTGTTAACAAAGAGTTAACGTTTGGCTAATAATTTGAATTTCCATAGTTGTGACTATAATTCCCCACTTCATAATAGTTGTGGCTAATATATTGTATTTACCCTAAATCCTATACCAGCATGCATGTGTTGTGTAGCCCTGTTGTCTACTTTTACGTCAAAAATACACCTACAAGGTTGTAAGATCCCGTCGGCAATGATCTCTAATCTTGAAAATGGCCAGGGTGACCCATATCGACTAGCAGAGAAGAGTGGATATTCTTCCATCTAGCCAATCTAATTCTCATTGCCAATCTAATTCTCATTGCCATATCTGGAATGCCTCTCTGATGTCAACATTATCCGCATTAATTTAGAAATTTACGACCATTTTCTCTCTTTCCCCCCTTTTCTAATAGTAACCACTTGCTTTTAGCTATGTGGAAAGCATTCATCTCTATGGATTTCTCTCTGTTTGTTAATTGATGGTGATGAATTGCAGATATGTAGGGATTTTAGACAGTAGTTAACGATCAATCTCTTCGTTGGTGTGCTCATAAAAAAGTATGTTGGAAGCACAACATCTGGAACTTACTTATCAATCTGGAATATGTTCTGTTTTTTGTTCGTTAGATCCTTACATTATTTTCTGCCAGCAAATCAATGACTTCAAAAACAATGTTCAAGTTTTTACCAGAATGGCTTTTGCAAATCGTGAATATGACTTAACCTAGAAGGAGATCTTTCAGATCCTGATACTTCAATCTTTCATGCATGGGTTACTTGCTTAAAGCTCAATGTTTATATTCTCTTTGAGTTGAATAGGGATCATAAAGAAAACAAGAACCGTCATGGAGTGCTTACATCGCTTTTGCAGGGAATGCATTGACAAATCAATGCGATTCGGGTAATGTATAACACACCGCATTTATATTCAAGGAGTTTTCTGTTACCTATTTATCTTGTAAATCTGATATCTTCATTTGTTAGGAGTGTGTTGTCGGTGATTAATGTAACATCTCCTGATAATATCTTCCATTTGTTGCAGGAACAAAGAGTGCCCGGCTTGTCGTACCCATTGTGCAAGTCGGCGTTCTTTGAGAGATGATCCTAATTATGATGCTTTAATTGCAGCTTTATATCCTGATATTGATAAGTATGAGGAAAAGGTAGATTATTTTGACTAGTCCTTTTTTTTCAATCTTTTAGTTGTGTACCACAGCTTTTCCTTGATTTTAGCTTTTTGGCTGATTCAGTATTTGGTGCAGGAATTGGCTTTCCATGAAGAGGAAAGGACTCGGAACAAGCAGGTGTGTGCGTTAAATTTTTATTAGATCAACTATGGATTTTATTTACAGGGAATTTAATTTTTTCAGTATTGGTACTGTAACTGTCTTTACATTGGATCATAGCTTACTATGAAACATATCATACCATGCATTTGTTTCATTTGCACACCACATAAGGAAGTGTCAGTTATAATAAAGCAACTTCCATATCTTTGTTATATCAATGACCTTATTTACAGAAAAGTTCTGTAATTTGCTGCTGTAACATTTAGCTCATTGGTTCTTTACGTGTTCACTATATACTGTCAAACTACAGAGTCAGAGGGGCTGCTATACTAAATTTGACTTAAGTACGCATTGCAACTCTTGTAAGCTTAGGCTCTATATATTTGTAATGTTTTGCTTCTGTCTCTTGTCTAAAAATTCCCATCCATGGCAAGTCCCTTTCTCATCATGCTAGTACTACCTTTGACCATTGAACACTAGCTGATCTCAGCTAAATTCTCCGGTTTAGGTGTGGAGATTATTTGTTTGACATCTTTTGATATACTTTTCTGCAACAAGTTTCATATGTCTCAATTTGTATGTTCAATTGAAACTTGCAAGCTGGGTCCTTTCTCACAGATCTATGTGTAGGCAAACAATGGCAGTCACAGGACTCGTTGATTCATGGTAGGCTCATTTTTCCTTAGGTAGAATTCAATTTGATTTTCTTGGTTCAGCCCAATTTTGCTATGATTGTTGAATCAATGTAGTACTAAATCTATGAGAACTCTGCATAAGCAGATTGTAGCAGAAGAGACTTGGATTTTGAGTAAAACTGTTAGGTTGGATTGGATCCATATCCAAATTATCCTTCGATTATAGCAGCCATATTTCTATTTGTATTTTATCAACATGCCCGATGGCACACACCTTCGCCTTTGCTTTTCTTTTCTCTGAATTTGCTCCACTCCCTGTGCAGATTATCCGCTGCGTGTTCTTGCCCCTAGTTCCTGTGCGTTTTTTAATTTGTCAAGTAGTGTTTAAGAGTATCTAAAAAAAATAGTGAAATAAAACTCATCTAATTTCTCCTTTTGTTTTTGCTATGTGTTTTCCCTTCCTCTATAATCAAAATCCCCTGAAATGATTCGAGGGCTAATATGCTTTTGTCCTAATTTTGATGTCATTACACTGCTTCTTAATGTCATACATCAGTCTTTGCAATTTGATCTTGTCTGCAAAGACATACTATTGGTCAAATCTAAAAAGTGTATATACTCTTACTGGATCTATTGATTCGTGCTGGGATTGTTTTCTTCTAATGTATGAGAGACCTTCTGTGATTTGAAGATTATGAAGAATCTTCAGGGGAACAGAGCCATGGTTGTCTGAAGTTTGGCATAGCAGTTCTTGTAATAGCTCTTATGATTTGCAGTCTGCTCTGTGTGAAATTAAGTTTTCCATTTCATATAAATTACCAGTGAGCTTTCAACCAAATTGCGTCTTGCTCACTAAGGTGTCGTACCATTAGGCAACCCCCTCCACATTCTCTGTGAACATAATAGTGGCAGAACTCTTAGATAAAAGTTAAATGGTTCTGAAAACATGTGCTATTTGGCAGGTTATAGTCATTTGTTCATCCGGAATCTGTACATAGGGTAGAACCCCAGACTTTATCAATTACTCCCGACTCCCATTTGCAACAGTATCTGTTGGATAGTTGTACGATCGAGTGGATTTAGGTAATTAAAAGGTCCATTTCTTGACCTGGTTTTTGTTGTCGATGGTAAAATTTGTTTTGTTGGCTGGCTACCATATGTGCGGATAGTATCACAATGATGGAAGTAGGGGTTGCTAGACAGTTACTTAGTTGGTAGCTTCTGTTGTCTTAGGTGTTGATGGATGTTTCGATTGCGGCGGTGTTGAAATTTATTTGGACACTCAGTAATGAACTTCAGAAAAAATTTCATGTGGTTATGAGAGATCTATCTGTTCATCACTGCTATACTTCTACGTTACAAAATTCTTGTGTGTATGATTCATTCGTCTCAGTTTTTTTGAAGTACGGAAGATGCAGTAACAAATGGATGCTGTTTTTTTATGCATTACCATATGAATAATGCTGATGTCTTCGTTTGAGTATGCATCTTCTTTCCTGAAATTATGGAAGTTTTGTTTTTATGCTTTCAGAAGACTGAGTTGCACTCTCATAAATTCATAATGCCAAAGTAAAAAAAAATCACTTTCCTTTAAATTCTGTGTCATCAGATACAAGCATCTATAGCCCAAATATTTCAAAGGCAGTCAGAAGCATTGGCGAGGAGACGGAACATTGGAAAAGAATCACCTGCACAATTTTTTGCCAGATCACAGAGGAACCTTCGAACTACTCAATCAAGGAGACAGAGAAACAGAAGAAGTATGGATTATCAAGGATCTGAAGATATGGAGGAAGAAAATAACGAGGACACTGTAAACGGCAAGGATTCGTCCTCTGCTGATGAACGATCTCCAGAAGTTAGGCCGAGAAGACGAAGGAGACGACCAGGGCTGAGGACCTCTCATCCACCTTCTTCATCAGGAGTGAACTCTGAAGGAGTTGCTGCTGACAATAATGATCAAGAAACTAGCAGAGAACACCAGGGAATGTCTCTCGTGCTCCCATTTATTAATACTGAAATGCTTAATTGGGGGAGGGGCGGCACGAGGAGCAACACCCGGCATGGCGCTGCTAGTAGCAGCAATAATAGGCACATGCGAAACAGTCGCATATCAAATCTGATGGAGCATCTTAAAAATACATCAGTTGAGGAAAAAACTGGGGACGAGGTAAATGGTCAAACTTTGATACTAGTGGGTTTGTTTGTTTTTGCCTAAGTTTTGGTAGTATTGAAGAATCATAATCTTTGGTTAGGTTTTGGAAGAAGTTGAGTTGATCGGATATGAGATGTGCTTTAGAAAGAAAAACATAATTGAAAGGTTGGTAAATAGCTTGTTTAATAATGAAGAAATGAATGGTTTTTGGGAAAATTACTATTGTGTATAACTATATGAATATGCTTTTATTTTCAAGGGGCAATGTTGGAAATGTAATTTCATTTTGGAGGTGGCTTATAGATTTGAACATTTGTGGAATTGAGGGTGAATAGTCTGTTTGTTTTAGTCCTACCTACGGGCATTGTTTTCTTGAACAAATCCTCTGCATTCTGGTCTTTTCACCTTAGTCTCCTCTTGGCAATGAAGGTATGCATACATAAAAATATCCTCACCGGACTGTTTAAACTTTGGTTTTGATTCCATGTCCCATTCACTGAAAATGAAGGACGAAATGAATTTAGGGAATTGGGAATCTGAACTCTCATGACTGCATGTGGACTTTGTTCTGCCTCGAGGAATGATAAAAGAGGATATGGAAGACCCTGCTGCACTGAACTGTTAGAAATCCGACTGACAGCAGTAGCCTAGTGAATCTCTGTGTCGAAATCTGACTAATCGAAGGAGCCTATGTGATTATCATGCATCTGAGGAGTATAGTATGAGTTGTGTTATGAAGTACCTGTTGGATTCATCATGGCTCCAGTGACCTCACTTGCTATTTTCTGTTTTCACAGTCGGATTTGAATCTGATAGTACTTCCCCTGGAGAAAGAATCCGCACCAAGTTTGGAACAGCCTTATTTTCGCTGCCGATCTACCTCGTCTATTGGACAAATCCGGGAGGTGAGGTTTCCTGCCCTAACCTATGTAATCTTTCCCTTTTGTATGCTTGGCTGTTTTCTCAAAGGACCCTAAGTGATTATCATATACTCTTGAGAATAATACATTTTCTCACGTTAGGCCTTATTGTAACATATTTTAGAACACATTTATAATGTATTTTAGAACACATTTATAATGTAAAAAATGTTACGGGAAACATAACACTTCCTTCTGGTGAATGGTAAATCATAATTTCAGTTCCCTTCCCCTCTGAGGACCTTTATGAGAACACATAATATTAGAGCAGAATCTCGGGAGAAAAGGTGACTTTTGGTTCAGATTTCGTACTTGCTTCATCAATAACTTTTTGTTTTTCTTCATAGTTTCTGCGAATCTCTGAAAACAGGGTTTAAATTCTGGCATCTCATAGTTACTTGGTCTCTATAACTTTGTACTTCCTAGGATTGATGTTGAAAGACTCAAGGCCTGGCATGTGAAATCTGTTAAACTTCTGCTGAGAACAAATAACGACAACAGACCTGAGCTGATTCCTGTTCTGCTTTTTTCTTTTGCTCAATCTGATCGTGGAAAAATTCCCTGCAGTTCATTGCTCAGAAATTGTCACTGACTGCTGAAGAAGTCGATCTCTATTTGGTGGCTGAGTTCTATGGCATGCTTCCCACCCTTGAAACTCCATCTTCCAAGGATGGCCTGCAGGTATTGGTAAACAACGAGGAAACATTAGCAATGCTAACAAGAGGCCATGCTGACTTTCCCACGAGCTACCTTCCCAGAAGTTATTTGGTGAGTATCGGACCTAACCTTAAGAGTTTGCTTGAAGCCTCAGGCTTGATTAAAACTAACGAGCTTGCTTGAAGCCTCAGGCTTGATTAAAACTAGCTGTCGGCTGATGCAACATATGTGTTTGTTTGGCTAAAAAGTAAAAACAATCACAAGCATAGTTTAACTCTGGCACTTTTTTTTTTGGTCACTGGGAACAGATGATAGCATTCAACAAGAAGCTGAAGGTTGAGCGGGAAGCTGCTGCTAGTGGAGGACGAATGGAGGCTGAGGCGGCTTCTGGCGCCAAGGAGGAAGTAAAGGAGGAGCAATAAAAAGAAAGAGGCTTCTGGATCCGGACGATGAGGCGTGTCATACAAATACTGTAGCTTTGTAAGTTATGGGTTTGCAGTATAAGGACCAAAACTACAGGCAAAAAGTTTCGACATTGAGGCTTTCGTGTTGCAGCCTGCAGGTTTCTTTATCAAAATTGGAAGGGAAGGAATCTGTAGGACCTTTCTCTCGCGTTTCAATTTATAATCCGCGGAGAATGAAGCCTAGTCGGCATAGGGTCCAGTCTGTTTCCATAAGGACTTACCAGTGTTCAGTCTGTTGCACAGAAATATAATCGTCCTTTTCTGTAATTGCTGAATTAATCAAGGAAGTCACGACAGCAGAACATAGCTACTTTCCTATGAACTGAACCAACCCCCTGGGTGAAGCAAGGAACACAATGATTGTGGAATGAGCTCCTCGTCGTGAATAGCAGTCTAGCCGAGCTTGGAAAAGCCATCGCCTCGAAAAGTGCGTGCAATACGATAGTGCCAAAAGTGTCCAAGTAGTTGCCTGGACCACCATTGCCAAAAGGTGCAACCTTGCCTCTTGCCATTGGAGTCGGACTTGACTAAGAAATCGTAGTAGCCCACCATTGCCAAAAGGTGCAACCTTGCCTCTTGCCATTGGAGTCGGACTTGACTAAGAAATCGTAGTAGCCGAGCTTGCTCCCACCGCAAGGACATGCCATCGTCACATCAGTAAGGCTCTGCTTGTCTCGTCTCCATCATGAACAATGGGCATTCCACCATCCTATTTTTAGTACTACCACCCAGATGACTATATCATGTCAAACCTAGCAACCACGTAACTCCATCTTTTTTACAATGAGATCAACTTCGTTTCACAAGCGAAAGAGAAGAACATTAAGATTATATAAGGAAGTAGAAGACATGATCGAGAATAATAATGTAGTCCGTAGGGTGAGTGATGCCCCTGATCCGTTATGTCAAAATCTTGGTATCTTGTCTAAACAGATGGTCAAGTTCTTGCTGCTTGGTTGGGTATGATAGAGTCTATTCTCAGACAACCCACAAATCAAAGTTAGAGAAGTCCTTGGAATCCAGAAATGTGAGAGCGGATTGGATTGCTCGATCATTAACTATTTTTCACTCATGTTTGACTAAATCAATATTCTAAAGCTGATTTTACTGTATGAAAAAAAGGACCCCCACACCAACAGAACGCTTTGACAGTATGTCACTGAAAAGAATAGCTATCATTGACACTCTTGTTTACGCCACTAATCTTCCGATCCGGTGTTTTGAGTATCAGAATTCAGCTCCTAGGTGTATAACTAGGGACATATTTTTCCTAGTTACGGCAAATGTGTCATCCCAGAAAATACAACTAAATCTGCCTCTGTAAATTAGAACAGAACCAGAAATTAAAATCATCAAATGATTTGCTTTTTTACTTTCATAACAGAGATCTACAATGTTAGAAGACAACATCACATTGTGTACAACACAAGAAAGAATTTTGAACAGGCGGCTGGCTTGGCCGGTTCAAGAGATCTTGAACAGAGGAAGTTACAAGTCTACCCATCAATCACCGCATGCATGAAGCAGGGCTAGAAGCTGCTGCTGCAGCCCTCATGAAGCTGCTCCTCCTCTTCTGCTGTTCTCTCCTGTGAAGCACTCGCAATTTCGGCGACTTTGGCTTCGTTGCTACTTTGCAAGATCTGTAAATATAATATAGAACGCACCAAATGACTCAATAAACCATGAATGCACGTACTAAGTTCAGAGTAGAGTCAGCTGGTCTCTTTTGTTTTTTTTTTTTCTTTTTTTTTTCATCTTCTTACTTCTGGGGGCAGAAGGGGTGCTCGAAGTTTGGGACTGGTCTAGCATGAGGTACCATTGTTCTCCTCAGCTGCTTCAATGCCTTCTCTTCCTCAACCTGTTTACCCACCCCATAATTCAGCAACATTATTAGGAATCATTGTCAACCAAAATAACAAATTCTATAAAATGTACCATGTCTTATAGGACGGACGACTTACCATCTTTGCAGCTTCACTTTCCTCTCTATATCGCTTATACATCATTTCCTTTTGCTTCACCTGATAAAAACAGAACGCAAAATAATATATGAGCAGCCAAAATTTAGCTAGCTACACTTTTAAGTTACTTTGACACGCTGAACATGGACCAGAGTGAAGCTTACCTTCTGATCAAATTCTTTCCTGTCTACTGCTCGGTGATCCACATGAAGATGGATTTGTTGAACCTCTGTAAGAGGTATCCGCACCTTCTCTGGTACTGGAATGGGATCCCTGTTACAACAGGAAAAAGAATATGACTGACTGCATGCACTCACTTAGAGATAAATTAAAGCAGCAACAATCCCTATTTACTTACTCTTTGAGAACTGGCTGTGCTTTGAATATCCTCATCTGGGCTTCTTCCCTCTCCTTCCTCAGTCTGTCCTCCATTTCCTTCTGCATTTCTTCTTCATGTCTCACAAGGCTCTCCAATTGAAATGGTTCAGGTCTTGTGGATGGCTTGGGGTTTGGTTTTGGCGGAACCTGCAAAACGAAGAACAACTGCAAAATTAAATGCTGGCAGATATTGAAAAAAAGTCTACCTACACAAGTAAAAGGGAGTAGCAGCAAGCAACATGTTGATGGGATGGATGATATCAATTACCACTGGATAATCCGTTGTGTAAGGATACGGAGTTGCCTTCGGGACCCTAGCAAGTTCGTCCTCCATTTTCTTCCTCTCCAGTTCCATGGCAAGCCTCCTTTCTTTTTCTGCCCCTCTTTCCTGAAGACAGGAAAAGAAATAAAAGGTTGGCCATATGGTAACAAGATTCATTATCTGGGACTTGGATTGGATTAATGTGCCAGATGCTTTCTCATCTTCATGATAAGATTGACCAAATACCTCCGTGTGCAAATGGAACGGGTTTGGTGCTGTGTTTCTAGGAAGCAGATGATTGTCCTGAGATTCCGAGTTCAAGGAAAGCTGCAAAGAGTTCATTGATGAGTCGAGTCACACTTTATGGTTTCAACAAAGTATACAAAAAGTCTATAAAAGAAACCTACCTTATCAAACATGTCAGCAACAACAGTGGGAGGTGGAATTCTCTCATCTATGGCAAAGTGGAATTCTTTAGGTACTGTGACCTGCTTCTTGGTATTACAGAAGATCCCAAGTTCTCCTTTACTTTCAAATATCTATACAAGCACAGATGTCAAGTAGGTTAGATTAAAAATTCTGATGTATCGTTCATAAAGCTACTCACTGAGAAGAAGTTAGATACCATACCTTTTTGTTCAAAGGCTTTGCCTTGAACTTAGGAATCTTCTCGAGAGCCTCTTTCTCAAGTTCAAGAGTACTTTTAACCTTTACTGGACGAGCTCTCAAAGAGGTCTGAAGCAATGGAGTCTTAGGTTCGGTGCAATGAGGCTTCCACTCATTGTTCTGCATTGAAGGTGACAACGGGGAAAACAGAATGAGTACGTTTGAATTACGTTTTTCTGGGTAATAATTGTGGAGTGGTTACTACGTTACCTGACGAGAAACTTCTGTTGAGGCTACTGACCCTGATTCTGCATTGTGAGTAGCCCTAACTGCTGTCTCAAGATGGAACTCCTGGTAGAATGAAGGAAACACTAAGTTGAGCGCCTTAACCAAGGGAGTGGAAACAACAGGCCAAAGGAACCATTATGGCAAGGAGACTTGCCTGAAACTCAGGTGCCTGTGGTGTACTTCTTGGTATTATTGGTAGAGTTGAAGCTTCCAGAATCTGTTGGGAGAATTCAGTGCATGAAGAAACGAATACAAAATAATGCAGCTGTAAGAGAAACTACGACAAGAAGCAGAGGCTAGTATTATTGTTACCTTCTTGTTTACTGGTCTAGCTTTGAATTTTGGAATTTTGGCCAACATCTCTTCTTCAAGCTCCGCACTACTCTTAACTCTGACTGGACGGACCCTCTGAGCCGTTTCAAAAGCCGGCTCCTTGGGCCTTGTAAGCGTGAGCTTAGGTTTCCCCTGAGTGGCAGAAGCACAATCGTCAACCAAATTGACCGGGACCGAAAGAAGTAAAACAGGACAAGCTTAGATTGTATCGTTACCTGTGGGATAGGTAAAGACAAGTCCCTAGTACTGGTTTGGAACTTCCTCATCATTTCTGCCGTCGAGACAAAAGGAGCTTGCACAGCTGTTTCCCGAACGTAAACCTTAATAGAAGGATACAAAGAAATACAGTTCAATATCACTTCGCTAGAACTGGATCAGGGCGTGTAGATTATCATTTGTTCATGGCTGCAAAAAGCTAACCTTTCTCTCCTCTTTCTGCGTTCTGTTAGCTACACCGTTTGCATTGCTAGTTGAAAGACCCAGCTTGGACTTGTGGGGTAATGGTTGTGGGGGTCTAACATTAAGAATCTGAAATTTCCATCCACGGACAAATAGTTAGTTAGAACCAGCTTGTGTGAAAGTTGAACTTGAAAAGGGGGGATGTCAAGGCAAGCAACAGTCACCTGTCTGGATTTTCCATCTTCAAGCTTCTGCCGTTTGATGGCCTGGTTCTCATGTACGAAGGAGAAAGCTCCAGCAGGATTGTTTGTATTATTATTACCTCCTCTGCAAAGGAATCCAGTGCAACTCATGATTAATAATGACTCAGACACAAGAGGTTTAAGGATAGAAAGACCACAGAAATATGCCTACTGACTTTTTCAGGCTTGACTGTGGTTTGACACCTTTGACCTGGGAGGATTGTGCTTGACTCTTGGATTTTAGAACTGATGGATTCTTAACCAAACTAGCTATGTGCCTGGCTGATTGATGCTTCTTGGAGCCCGTCAATGCACCTCCCTTCTGTGAATGCAATGATGGCTGAGGCGTGCTGCAGGCCTCGGTTCTGGTTTGCTCTTTAACTTCAGCAGATTCAACTTTCATGGAAGTAATTCTGTTTCAAACAACATATATAAACTCATTAACGGCATTGAACGTAATCCCCATTAGCCATCAGAGCAATCTGTTGAGGAAATAAAGCATTTAAATCCATAAAAAAGAGTACATAAAAAGTGAACCTTGCATGTTCTTGCTTATGAATAGTTGCTTTCTCTTTCTGCTCAAAGAAGAGAATAGCCTTCTCCACAACGCCCTTGCAAGTATCATTGCCAGCAGGTAACTGAAAGGTGTCGGAAACGAGTGTATTAGAACATAATAAATATGGTGTCCACATTATCATTTGATTCTTCTACACAACGCCCTTTCAACAACTTACCACATTCAAACTTTTGAAAAGAAAAAAAAAATTTACCACATTTACCTGGCAGCCATTGTTTTCCTTGTTTGCTGCTGCTGCTTCCCTTGTTTCAGCTGATTGCTTGTCTTTTCTCTCAGCAGCAGTTGACTCTGAGGATTCTGATGCCTATTACAGAATATGAACGTCATGTCAATTTGGCTTAATAATCACTTGATCAACGAGCGAAGGAATCTCAATCATATTATGACCTACCTTGGGGATTTGGTCAGCTTGAGTAAAATCACACAGGCTGTCAACTTTGAGTGATCTGCCAGTCCTAATTCTTGGCATAAAAGCTGCACAAACGAATCATAGAACAACAAAATCATCAAGACTCGGTACAGAGCCTTCTGCGATCGATCAAGCAGATTTTTAACCCTAACCCTTGATGTTAACCAGTAAACCCCTGATTCAAGAATTCAAATTAAAACCACAGCCAACCTAACCTAGCAAACCAGGAGCAAAATCAGCGAATTCACAAACCCCTAATTCAAGAATTCAAATTGAAACCAAACCAAACCTAGCAAACCAGGAGCAATCAGTGAATTCACAAACTCCTGGAGACTGGGAGAGCAATGATTGTGGTGTTTTCCGACTAATCCAAGAACGATAAAAGAAGAAAGAGACTGGGAGAGTCGAAGAGAATTGTAAGGAGGGAGGAAACGTACGAGAAGGGGCGTGACTGAGAGCAGTGTCGAACCAGAGCTCCGCCTTCCTCATATCTTCCTTGGACTCCGCTTTAGTGAAATCGAAGAACCTGGGAGCGGAGAACTCGTATATCTCGTCGATCACTGAAGAAACGGCGGCAGTGCCTCCTTCGGCCGCGCCGGTGGGATCCTCAGTCGCCGCGGCAGCCATAGTAAGTGGAGGATGAGGAAATTGAGCGATACGTTGGGGGGAAGGGAAGCCGGGGAGAAGTTCAGGAAGTAAAGTCGGAGAAGAGTTTTGTGTGTGTCCGATGGAGAGAGATGAATTTTGGGGGGTGGAGGGGGCGGAGGAGGAGTGTTAAGACTTGTCAAGTATAACGTTAGGGTGGACGGGCGGATGCATCTTCCAACGGTCGAATTTTTTTTCCGACCTTTTTGAACTCGCAGGACGGAGAGTGGGGGCCACATGTGCCATTAACGGCTAGATTCTGGAGAGCGTCAAATACTGAACTACGCCCCTGAAACGCTGTCGTTTTCGTGGATGGCCGTTACAGCAGCTTATTTACCATGGATCGATTCTTAGCATAATGCCGGCTCATATCCTCCAATAGAGTTTTGGTGTTAATTATTTATGGTGCTGGTGCATATGATACTGCAATTTTCATGATAGAGTGTCACATAATTTTTTTTTAATTTTAAAATTACCGCTCTCTTCTTAATTTTTGCTAAAGGTAAATCGGTAATTGACTAACATGGAAGAAACTAATTCTATTAGTGTCCTTGCATTTTTCAATTTAAATTTACATTTAGTACTTTTTTTATCTTTGTTCTTATCTCTTTTAACTTACTCCGAAATTCTCTCCATTGTGTAATGATTTGCGCCCCTTTTACTTCCCAATACAAGGCCGCATTTGAAAATGAATCTTCTGATATCTCTTGGCACTACCATTTTATTGTTTGGGATTTAAGCTGAGCAAGCCGGCAAGTAGAAGATTTCAACTCCATATCAATCTACGGCGAATAGAATGGAGTTCAATAAAATGGAGTTGCAGAAGGAGGATTAGAAATTGAATTTTTGGTTGAAACATATGTATCTTGAGATAGAAGATGGAGTGGATAAAATTTTCGTTGTACAACGGAGAGTGGTGGTTATTGAATCTATAGGTTTACGGTTTTTGTAGCTATCACAACCTATTTTTATCTTTGTTCTTGATTGATTTACTAAAGTAAGTCAATTCTTTATTCAACATACTGGAATTGATAAAAAAAAGGAAATTTTGTTCCTTATTACTTTGATCGAGTCTATTAGTATATTGGAGATAACCCTAATTTTGTCGTTTGCTCTCAAGTATTGATGGTCCCCTTATAGCTAAGTTGTTAGTATATAGTTGACTTGAATCAACAACTCTCCTTTTCTTTTTAATTAGCGGCATATTATTCCTAAAAGGAGAGCATTAAACCATTTATGTAGGATTGCGAGGTTTAAGATTTAGTTTCAAACTATCTATGTGTCGTGTCAGAATTCCACTAAGTTTTTATACTCTATCTTTCTTGACAATCAACTAACCAATAGCATTTTATATTCTTAAATGATGATGATATTTCTACGAATGTCCGACCTATTTATTTTATCTTTATGTATCATCTCGATCGAAAGATTGTCAATAAAATTAACTGAGTTGATAGACTTAATGTAACATAAATAAATAAATAATCAAATATGAACATTCCGGCTAACAGGCCGGTTTATAAGCTAGTATACTATATATAAGGTATGAGTAGGGATGGCAACCTAATCCAAATTAATGGTACCGAAACCAACCCGACTCAATCTGGTCAAATTGGGTAAAATTCAGTTTTGATGGATTTTGGGTGGGGTATGGATTTTACCATTTTGAAATATGGTGGGTTGGGTTGGGTGAGTATGGGTTTGTCAAAACTCAACTTGCTTTTCATCAAACCCTAAAGTAAAACGACGTCATTTTGTATCTAACAAAAATAATATGAATAATTTATGAATGCTATTAATCTTTACTAGTTTTGTGCCAGCTCGATGGACGGCAAGTGTCATTTGTTTGTACATTTACTTCTATTATATGTCATTTTTTCAATGGTAGCGGACTCCTAGTTTTTCATATTTATTTATTATTGTTATCTATTATCCGTGTTTCATCAGATATGAGGGGCGCTACATTTACTCCAGATTTTAATCATGATCAACAATAATGTCAAACAACGTTGTAACTTCATCACTACTTGCAATTGCAAAATAGTATTCATACCATCTAATCTTTGATTGGACAAGCAATTTTCAACTTTATAAGTTGTACATGGTTTAAGCTAGCGTACGCCACCTTACCGTACTCATATCGAGTTTTGCTATTTAGAAAATGAATTAACGGAGTTTGGGACATGGTACTATATCATAGTCTCTGATGGGTGGACCCCAGTCTCTAATTCTCAATCCAAATCGTAAGATTCATTTCATACAAAAATAATAACCAAGGATTGTTATTTGTCAAAATTTGGGGTTAATATATTTGTATGGCCTGAACTTTGCACATAATAAACATTCTGGCCAATCATTTCGATCTATAACATCTTGGCCCAAACTATACATCAAAGTAACAAAATTGGCTAAACCCAATGTTTGACCGTTATCTTGGATGGTCAAACACGTTGACTAATGGTAAACGCAGTGGCGGAGCCATTTGTAGAGGAGGGGGTGCTTGCACCCCCCTTGGGTTTGGAGAATTTTTTTCCGAGTAGGGGTATATACAAATTCGAACCAATGAACATTCAGTTGCAGGAAGAATTTCTTATCATTTCGATCGAGTGAGTTTTGTATGTAATGCACTTTCGTCTTTATTTATAGTAATAAATTGTTGTCTTTTGTTTAAACTCGCTCATTTTTTTTGTAGCTCTACAATAGAGAAATTTCTTGTCTTTTGTTTAAACAAAGTTGAAAGTGAAGAAGTACCAATTGAAGTTCACTTGTTTGTTTCACAAAATCAATTCCAAGGTACTTTTGAGTTCTAATTTGTAATATTTGATGAATGGAAGTCTTGATTTGTATGTACTGAACTTATTTGTTTGACGTTGTAACCGGTGTACGTGAAACTATTTTAATGTAATTGTATGAATTTAGAGTATTGCGTTGTTGACTTTTTGTTTAATTTTAAGTTGACTTTTCTATTGTATAGGTGATTTTTTATGATATGATAAAGACACCCCCTTGGCCAATTTTCTGGCTCCGTCACTGGGTAAACGCACCACGTCACTGCCAAGTGAACAACTTTCACTAAAGTTTTTTTATATTTTCCTCTCTTTCATTGGCTTTCTACCAAGCTCTCCTCGAGGAGGCCTCTATTGAGGCTCGGAAATGCAAGTCTCGGGGTTCTTCCCGTTGGTCTTCATCTTCTTCGACTTCAACGGATCACAAACCTCCTACTCTGTCGTCGGCTGTTACTCCTTCGCCGACGGCTGAGCGTGGTCCGTTCGGGAAGGGCCTGTGCTACAAATATGGGAAGCGCTACTTCCATGGCCATATCTGTCGAGCTAAAAAGCAGCTTCAGTGGATGGACGGCCACGATTCTTCAGATAAAGACGACGCCGTCGTGGATGTGGAGGCCCCAATCGCGGAAGATCTCGAGGTTTCCTTGCAGGCTTTGGGATATGGATCGTCTACGCGATCGCTCCAGATTCCGGCGACGGCAGGCCGCGCTAATTTGTTGGTATTGATTGATACAGGCAGCAACCATACCTTTCTGAGCAGGGAGAAGGCGTCCGAGTTAGGTTGTCGACTTGACTCAGCACCGCCGATTCGTGTCAAAGTTGCCAACGAAGCTTCCTTGGTTAGTGATTCGATCTGTACGGATTTCCAATGGCAGATGCAGGGTAAGCAGTTTGGGTTTGCTGTTCGGGCTTTGGAATTGGGCTCTCTGAACTTGGTGATGGGCCTGGATTGGGTGGAGACAGCAGTAGCGGATCTAGGGGGCCGCCCCCGGGCCACGGCCCACCCCTCCCTGGATCCAAAACTCGTATAGTACTTGTAAATTTTTGATTTTGGGTACATATTTATGTGTTTATTGGATTACGGCCCAACCCTCTCCATCGCTTTTTAAATGCGGCCCAGTGCTCTAATTTGTTCTGGATCCGCCACTGGGAGACAGTAAGCCCAATAGAAATGGACCTCAAGAAACGACAAATGACTTTCGAATGGGAATTCTGTAGCTTGATATTGCAGGGTATTCTTCCAGAGGGGCAATGCAAGATTCTTTCTGGGAAATCCTTCAAACAGCTACTGGGCAAGAAGGTTTCTTCTTTTACTGGAACCCTCTTTGCCATTACCAATTCTGACTCTTCTTCTTCCCCTTCGCCTACTCCTCATTTCTTACAGCCCTTGATTGCCCAGTACTCAAATGTCTTCATCACTCCATCTTCTCTTTCTCCTTTTCGATCTTTCGATCATTCTATTCCTCTTCTTCCCGACTCCAAACCCGTTAATATTCGGCCCCACGATTTTCCTCATCACCAAAAGGCGGTGGCGGAAACACTGATAGTCGATATGCACAAGTCTGAATTGATTCAAGCCAGCCACAACCCCTATGCTTCCCCAGTATTATTGATCGGCAAGAAAGACGGGTCCAGGCATTTTTGTGTAGACTACAGGGAGCTGAACGCCAATACCATCAAGGAAAAATTTCTCATCCCTCACATCGAGGACCTGGTCGATGAACTCCACGGAGCTCGGTTCTTCTCCTAACTTGATCTTCGGGCGGGGTATCACCAGATTCGTATGAAGCCGGCTGATCAGTTCAAAACCGCGTTCCGTACTCACCAAGGGCATTACGAATTTTAGGTAATGCCCTTTGTTCTCACAAATGTTCCAGCAACCTTTCGGTCTCTCATGAACCATGTCTTCCGCGAGCATCTGCGCAAGTTCATTTTGGTTTTTTCGACGATATTCTGGTGTGTAGCCCACGCAAGAGCTTCATTTGCAACATTTGGGGATTGCCCTAAGTCTTTTTTCGAGAACATCAGTTGTTTGCTAAGATGTCGAAGTGTTCATTTGGTCAAGGGCAAGTCGAATACCTGGGTCATATTATTTCTGCTGAGGGTGTTTCTACTTATCGCACCAAGATTGCTGCAATGATCGATTGGCCTCAACCTCGTTCCGTGAAGGCTCTTTACGGATTTCTGAGTCTTACGGGGTACTACAGGAAGTTCATCCGCCATTACGGAGTGATTAGCCATCCTCTGACAAACTTGTTGACAAAGAATGGCTTCACTTGGAACCAAGAGGCTAAAGCTGCCTTTCTCGCTCTCAAACAAGCTATGTCTTCTGCACCTGTGTTGGCCCTTCCTAATTTTGATCTCCCATTCACATTGGAGACAGATGCTTGTGGAACTAGGGTAGGGGCTGTTCTTTTGCAGGAAGGGCGACCATTGTCCTACTTCAGTAAAGCTTTGGGCATTCGTAACCACGGTTTGAGTACGTAGGAGAAGGAATACCTTGATGTCTTATGGAAGTGGACCACTGGCGTCATTACCTCGAGGGTCATCCCTTTACCATACTGACAGATCACGAGAGCCTCAAGTTCCTTTTGGGGCAGAAGGTCCATACTACGATACAGAAGAAGGGCCTGGTCAAGCTTATGGGATTAGATTTTCTGGTTTGTTACCTAAGGGGAAACTTTAGGGCATGTTTGGAAGCTAGGATTCTCTAAATTGATGTATTTAATCAATGCATGTATTATAATTAGATGCATTGTCTCAATGTATGAATTTGAAAAATACATTGTTTGGAGATTGAATGATTTTGGTGGTCCCTCAAAGAATAAGGAACAAAAAGTAAGACAACAATCCCTCAAACACAATCTCTACTAAAAGTTGAGATTGACAATCATTCATAATGAATGATTCTGGTGGACCCATCTGCTGTTCAAATACAAGCATTCTGTTTCATTTTAAGCCAAAAAAACGATGAATTCTTCTGATTGCATGTATTGGCTAAATACATCATCTGAAATCCCAACTTCCAAACAAGCCCTTAATGGGGCTACAGATGCTCTATCTCGACGTTTTGAAGAAGATACTGAAGTTTAGGATTGTATGGCTCTGTCCTCCGTCATACCAGAAAGGATGGTTGACATTGAAGCTTCATATGTGGGGGATGCTGAGTTGGCTCCTCGCATTGCTGCCACTGCCATTCAATCAAGTGGTCCTCATCAATGGGAGTTCTCTCAGGGTTCTTGTGTTACAAGGGAGCCATTGTAGTTGAATCCACCGGAGGGCTCAGGCAGAAACTTCTACGACTTTTCCATTCCTCTACTGTAGGGGGCCATGTTGGTGTTTAGGGTACGTATTAGGGGTTGAAAGGCCATTTCTATTGGTATGGTATGAAGGGAGCTGTTCAGACGTGGGTGAAAGAATGTGATGTGTGCCAATGTTGTAAATCGGAAACGGTAGCTTCGCCCGGCTTACGTAAACTGCCACTCAAGTTGCTCAGGTGTTTTTTGATGGCGTTTTCAAACTCCACGGCATGCCCTAGACTATCATCTTTGATCGTGACGCTATCTTCACCAGCTCGTATTGGACCGAGTTCTTCCTTCTGCAGCGCACTGATTTGCTCTACTTGACGGCGTATCACCCACAAACCGACGGCCAAACTAAGAGGGTGAACTGATGTTTGGAGGATTATCTGCATTGTATGACATTCCATCAGCCTAAGGAATGGCAGGACTGGCTTACACTTGCGGAGTGGTGCTACAACACTCACTACCATATCAGCACGAAGATGACTCCCTTCGAGGCTCTTTATGGGTTTCCTCCGACTTTCTTTGGCTTCTCGGGTGAGGCACGTTCAGCAGTAGGGGCAGTGGAAGATCGGACTCAACAACATCAAAGTTGTTGCGCCACAACTTGTCCATTGCTCAGAACAAGTAGAAGCAGTATGCCGACAAGAACAGGTCAGAGCGTTCTTTTCAACTACACGATTGGGTTTACCTGCACCTTCAACCCTATCGTCAGAACTCTATCGTGATCCGTTCCAACACTAAGCTAGGTGCCCGCTTCTATGGACCCTACAAGATCATTCAGAAGGTGGGTGCTGTCGCTTACAAACTCGCCATGCCAGCTGATTCAAAGGTCCACCCTGTTTTCCATGTCTCCCAACTCAAGAAATGCTCCTCCAAATCGCTTCCAGCTGTTCTACCTCAACCCCAGGTCAACGAGGCAGGCACTCTTAAGCTGTTGCCCGAGCAAATCTTGGCTCGACGTTTCGTCCAACAGAACAACCAAGCTGTGACGCAGATTCTTGTCCATTGGTCTCACCAATCACCAGCTGATGCTACTTGGGAGAATTTGCAGTCATTCCGTCAGCTCTATCCTGACTTTCCAACTTGAGGACAAGCTGTTTCTTTAGGGGGGATGAGTAAATCTATACTCAGAGTGGTTAAGTGTATAAATGGAATTGAGACGGGATGAATAAAGCATTCTGGAAATTCTGAACAATTACTTTGTTTTCCTCTGCTTTCTCTTCAATCGACTTCCTCTCTCAATTCCTTTTATACAGTTGACCACTCTGAGTATGGATTTACTCTAATGCCCTTGTTCTGTTATACAGATTGTTACAGCCAGCCTGCCAACAATCAACCAAAAGCTGTGGGTCTTGGCCTTGAGGGAGGTGAGAACACTAGCGACTAGTTGGGCTCATCTCGCATGCCAAGGATCACAAGAATGAGCTGATGGGCTCCATGCGAGTGGAAACCCACACGGGTTTAATAATGTTATAGAAAGGAGTGGGAACTTCAAGTCTAAATTACCCCAATTGGAGTTTTCTAAGTACAAAGGAAACAAAGACCCATCCAGATGGTTCGCGCGAGTGGAACAATTTTTAAATTTTAGGTGACTCTAGAAGAGCACAAGGTACCTCTCGCGTCTTACCTTAAGGAAGGGGATGCTAATCAATGGTCAAAATGGATTGATCAAACCTATGCTACTTCTGGAATGACAATTCCTCGATCGTGCTTCAAGGAAGAACTCTAGGCTCGATTTAGACCAGTAGAAGGGGCATCCAATGCGGTCAAAATCATGATTTTATGTAAATAAGAACTTGAGGTAAAATTGGAATCGTAGTTTAAAATCGTAAAATCGTAAGATTTTAAGGTTCACGTTAAAGTAAACACTTATTACACCAGATAATAATAACAATGCATCACTGAATAACAATGACACCACGTGCAGTCATGGAGACCATGCCAATAGTAGTGGTGGCATCACCACAACCAGCTCCGCCTCCTCAGAATCCGACTACTAAGAGGATGTTGCCGGAAGAAGTGACACGACGTCGAGCGCAAGGGCTATACTTCCATTGCGATGAGCAGTTCACTCTTGGTCATCGTTGTGCCAACGCCAACGTGCTATTGATGATTGGAGCATGTGAAGGCAATGAAGAGTTCATTTTTTAATATTAAAGTCTATCATTGTTAACATTTTTGTTTTACTTCGAACAAAACAAAACATTCATATGAACATTTCGGATGATATTTGATACTTAAAATTAAGCACATGCATTATTGATGTTTGTGATTATTCTCAACAAAATACTTTTTCGTTATCAATGATTTATTATATTGTTATTAAAGATTTGGTGCTCAAGTGTGAACATTGGTTAGCTTGAACTAATATTTTGCTTTACTAATGTTTGTTTGACTGAATCATAGGTGCATTATGTCAAAAGTGTCAAAAATATTGAAAAGAAGCGTTGTACTTTATGATCACTGAGAACGATAATATAAAGTGATATAAATTGATTGCAAAACTTTAATAATTAAAAGTCAATATTAGAGGTCGTGATTGGCTAATTATGAATATGATGTGGAAAATATCAACCAATGATACGATATTCTAAGTCAATGATAACGATATTCGATTCATTAATAATGATGTGATATAACTTTAATAATTTTCTTGTAAGCATTGATGACGAAAATTTAAATTGATAATAATTGATCCAAAATTATTAATAATGTAATTGTAAAGC